CCTTGCCCTCCCACATCCTTTCTAGTTCACCCTAGTTGAAGGTAGCAGCGAAGCAGATCAGTTCAATCTCAAATGCACATGCGTATCTGCAGAAGCTAGTGGTCAGTGATTGAAGAAGAAACACCATATGTTTGAACATGCAAGAGGGGAGCACTCACTGCAGACACCTGAAGTACCTGTCACAACATCAAACCAAGAAGCTCTCAACTCCATACCTTGCTATGCTGCAAGAAGATCAAGACGTGAGTTTAAGTGCAAACGATGACAACCTTTTCATCTTCCACTCGAATCACCACTTTGCTAACTCCCGAATTAGCTACCGAAGCCACTATCTGATCTTGTAAAGGCAATCCCTTACAAATGAAAAGCACGCATCTTGTGATGCATTGAACCCCACGGCTCCCCAAGGCAACTGATCAATGGCTGATCAATTGCAATCCCACGCCCGTCAAATAGATCGAATCATACGCCGGCATCCAAAGACCTGACAACATTCAAGATAGAATGCGATGCTAGCTGCTAGCTCAAATCTTGAGGCGGTGACCTAGCTGCTCTATGGCAACTTCGCAGCATGCCAAGCCTGACACATTGCTGCAGTTGAATCATTCTAGATCGAACAACTTAAGAGGCACCCATGCCTGCCGAGCAAGTTGCTTTGCTTCATCATCACTCTTGCCATCGAGGAGAGCCTTCCTTCTTGTCGTGTGGTAAGCAGAGCTCCTCAATGAAGCCAGTTGGCGTTGTGCATCATCCATCTTGCGAGGTTCCTTCTTTGCAGCTGCCTTCTTTGCAGCTGCCTTCTTGGCAGCTGCTTTGGTCTTTGCAGTCGCCTGACGAGCTTTTGCCTTTCCCTTTGGTACCCTTCCTCTCTTCCTCTGTGCTTTCTCTGCCGCCTCATTGTCCTCTTCCTCGACCTCTTCCACCTCCTGGCTGGTGTTTGACGCAGCCTCATCACCTTCAACAGCTTCCTCACCGTTCTCATCCCCTCCCTTTCGCCTTCGTGGGGGCGGACAAGGTGGAGCCAAAGACAAAAGACCGCGGCAGGCTTCAGGAGCTTTCATTTCCTCAGAAGGGACAATGTATCATATATGCATGCTGTAGATTCTGTAGATGTTTGGTCACCATTTACCAATCAACTCCGGACAAGACACGGCAGGAACAGGACTGAAGCCAGATGAATCCATGGGTTGAGTTTCCAGCTCATCCATCCCTGAGAACATCTAGCAGAATCTAGCTTACAACAATAATCAGAGAACACCTCGACAGCTACCTCAGGAATCTTCAAACTGAGGACAGTGCAAGACTTCGCAGATTTGGCAAGTGGAGCGGTGACACCAGCCTGCTGCTGTTCCTCGAGCCATGCAATGAGTCTCTGGCGCTCCAGGTCCAGCGCAGCCAGCTTTGCGGCTGCACTGTGTGCAGCGTCAGGTGCACCTGCCTTTGCCAGCTTGGCCCGCTTGCCCTCTGGGGCAGCTTTCAACTCCATCTCCTTTCCGACTTTCCTAGAGACAAAAGCCTTTCGGGCAGCTTCCACCTCCCTAGACCTTTCGGCCTCCATCTCAGAAGCCTTGCGGGCAGCTTCCAACTCCAAAGCCTTTTG